ATGCCAATAAAGTCGTAGCCCTGCAGGTGTGCACACATCTCTAACTCCTCTTGTTTATTCCCCATGCTATGTGCATTTGCATAGAGGCATTTAAGTTGGGCCCCCAATGAAGCTGACTGACTGGCTGGAGTTCCTTTGTGCTGCTCTTCAGGCACTCTCCTGCTGACCTGTGCTCCTTCTCCAGGCTCTGGGCATCTATTGCTGGCCCTGGCATCAAACTGGTAGGAGTGGGATGGATTGAGGTTCCCCTCCCCTGGCATCTCTAGTTTAAAGCCCTCTTCACCAGCTTGGCAAGCCTATGACCGAAGATGCTCTTCCCCTTCTCTGACAGATGGACCCCATCAAATTATGATACTTACTTAGTGGTTATACCCTAAAACCAGTTGCTTATGCTGTGACTAACTTTATAATATCTATTCAGGAAAAGAATATAACCCTTTCTCTCTAGTTTCCCTTACGATTTTACTATATTTGCATGTCAAGTATGGTGCATGCTCCCACCAATAGTTTTACAGGACTGGATGAAGGAGCCATTCCACGTGTAGCAAGTCTGAATTTAATGAAATAAAAGAAACTTAATACAGTCTGACTGATTACAGTGTTAGAAGAAATACTTAATATTGTCAAGTGTACGGGTGCTAGAACTGAAATCATAACATTTTAAGACAAGTAAAGAAAGCAGCATTACTGAGTGTGGGGTGATGCATTCTGAGCTTAGAACCTGCATGGAAGGGAGTCTTGGAAACTCTAAAGTTTCATGTCTTACGGTGTTGGAGCTCTCTAAGGGTCCAGTCCCTTGTCAGGCAGAAAGGATCAGTCTGCCTGTAAGACTTCAGTGATATAATTTGTATTTTTATAGCAAATGTAATTCTTATAAAAATCCCTCCCTCAAAAAATAAACCTGTGGGTTTTCCACAGTATTTGATACCATTTCCATTTTGTCAGGTGAAGAACCAGCTGTCATGCACAACCTTATACCAATGGTGCCAAGTCCTACCTGCATCGGGCAGTGCTACTGCTCTTTGCTAGTGCTGGCAAAGGGAGAGTGTCTCTGGATCGTCTCACATAGACACTTGACTTGTGAGGCCTGGTCTCTTCACAGAACCAGGCAAATTTGAAACTTTCTGCTGACTTTATTGGTGGTGTATATTGACTTTGCAACCTTTGGAGGTGGAAGGAGGAGGACAGCAGCTTGCCTGGTGTCCTACGGTTTCTTTGTGGGACATGATGAGGCTGGGTGTGCACCAGGGCAATATAGCCATGTCGGAGATAGCAGCCTCTCCTGCTTTGCTTCCTCCCATCACCCCACCATTGGCAAACTGTGGTTTTGGTTGTGTGGTGCAGCCCTGGCACTGGGGCCACACTTGAATCGCTCAGGGACCACAGGGGTAACTGCCGTGGGCCTGGGGAACTTGGTTGCTTTCTTCAGACACTTAAGTCCATGTTCAGTGGTAACCACTTTGAAGTGTTTTTGCTGAATTGCTTAAAGCTGAAGAAAAAGGTTTGCAGAATAAGTGTACGCAAATTATTTAGCAAATCTACTTTGACATTTTGCCGCTCTTTGAGGTGAGGAACCTTAGGAAAGTATTGTGAGAAGGGACAGTGCAAAATGCTTAGTGGAGTTTTATCCTGTAGCTGCAGTACCCACAACTGGTTGTGCTGTGCCTCTTCTGGGCATCACTCTTAACAGTGTGAATGTGCCTTTTGGGTTTTTTTGGTGAAAAAAAATTACAACTTTATCATTGCATGTAACAGCTGGTTCCTGCACTAGCTTAGGGTCCTAGAATATTGCTTTGTGTTCAAGGCTCGGGTGATGTGGTTTTTCACTGATGTAGTTGTTCATTTCCTGTACCATTACAGCCAGACCATACTGATTCTGGAGATCCCAAAAGGTCAGAGCTTCTGCTTTCCTAATTGTTTTTTGGTGGTGTGTTTTTTTTTTTTTCTTTCCCATTATTTCTTCAGTGAACCAAAATTTCTGTCAGGAATGGTTTTTGTTACCTTCCTTCTCCTTTGGATTTGGAAACATGGATTCTGTGCTTCCAGCTTCTGGTTGTGTTTTTCCAGTCATCTCTGAAAACTGTCGGGGCATGAATTTGTGCTTGTTCCCCTGCTGTCCCAAGGGTGCTTCGGAAGCATTTCCGTATTTCTTGTAAGGAGGGAAAGTTCCCTTTAAGGTGTACAATAGAAAGAATCGGCCTGTATTCAAGTTTTATTGGGTTTAGCAGAGAATAAAATACAGCTAAAAATAATTTTGGGAGCATTTGTGATTTCTTATGTGGTTTTCTTATGAGACTAATTCTGTATTTTTTTTTTTTTTTAGAATAACTTGTCTTTACAGGATCAAGGCATCTGTGCCTTTCTGTTTGGACAAAGGATCTGTAGATACGTTAAATCTCTGTAGCCTTTTAGTTCATGTTGTGAACTCCTTTCTTTTTCTGGGGGGAAAAAAGCTTGCTACTGATTCATCTTTTTCCTAAGTCTCCAAAATAGTACTAGTTTTGTTTTTAAAATGAAATTTTGACAGTTAATGACTCCTGCTTTAGTTTGTGTGTGACTATTGCTTTTTATTGCATTTGCTTTTTGCTTTAAAACTACTCAGAAGCTTTTTATTTTAAGTTTATTTTTATATTATTTTCAGTGCACAAAATGTTTTGAAATGGATTTTTTTTTTCCATTTATGGAACAGTAAGAATTGCAAGAAGCTTGGAAGATAATATATTTTTACTAATAATGTTTTATTAATCTACTTCATTTACAGGAAGTGGTCATCGGTCAAAATTTGCTTACCACAGCAGAGACAAAAAATTAATGGGCAAAAGTACAGTGTGTAGGTAGGTAGCTATTTTCAGTGCACTTAAGGTTCTTTGAGGAAAACCTCATTCTAAGGGAGTGGGATAGCTATCAAAGCGTAAGATTTTGCTCTTTAAAATATTCAGGTAGTAGACTCAACGATGAGGTGTTGAAGGAAGTGGCTTTGAAGGATATTAACATGCCCCCTACTTTTATGAGATTTTATTGAAAAGTGCCTTGGAATGATGCATATGTGCATTTGTGTGGTAGAGAGAAATTGAAACAAGTATATTTACTTTTATGGTTGCTTTTAAAAATTTTGCAAATACTTTTCTTTAATATTTGTAAACAAAGTGTTCTTTCTGATAATTTTCCCAAATTTGAACATAACTTACCTAATGTAAGTTATGAAGTGATTGGGCACGGGTATCTTTATTTTGTTGACTGTTGGTGTTTTACTACATTCAATGCATTGAAATGTAGTGCAATAATTGTTACACTTCAGTATATTCTTTTCTTTTACAGTATTCTCTAATCATAACAAAAGTTAGTCAAGGTTCCATGACTGTAACTTTGCAGTAGTACTGTACAGTGGGTGGGCGAGTTCTGCATTTTGGCATGTGAATAACAATCACGTTTTATTTATCCCCTTAAAAAAAGAAATAAAATAAATCCTTGATTAAAACTTTCATATTAATATAGTCTGCTCTGCAAATAAATGTTCTTTGGAATCCCTAGTGTTCCTTCAGCTCAAATGGCAAAGGCTAAAAAAAAATCCCCGAAAACAACTTGGTGTTGTTCATGCAGAAATGTATGTTGTTAATGATTATATAGGATATTTCAGGATAGCATTGCATTTAATTCAACAAAATCATCTTTGAAGATGGAAGGTTCAATTTCAGGACTGTTTTATCTTTACATCACTAAAGTAAAAATTCAGTGGCTTTGTTTTTTATTGCAAGTCTCAAACTCTGGTGCTATGTAAGGTAGCTAGTTACTATACGTATGGCCTAAAAGTAGAGTAGGAAGGAGGTGACATTTCTAAATGGGGTATTATGCCATTGTAAAAGTAAAATTTGTTAAATTCCTGTGAGTTAAGAATGAATTTCAGTGGACTGCAGACTGTGGGTTAATTAGACCCTACAAATTATTGAGGAAAAAGAACAAACAAAAAAACCCCTGAACATGTTAAGAAGACATGAAGTTAAAACATACGAGTTAACTTTGGGGTTTTGCCAAGTAGCATGTTAAAGTAGCATGGACACGTTCCCAGGGACATGTCATGACATGCTTAAGAGTCATTAAAATAAGATGAGCAGAAGAGTCAGTAAACCTCAAGAATAGCTTGCTTTTGTGATTACTCTGTTTTACATTTTGGCAATATGTGTTTGAATTTAATGATACACTGCGGAAAGTCCCAGAAGTAATTTTGAAGAGTTTTTCCTTTTATTTGTCATGTATTGTTTGTTATGCTCAGTTAGGCTTCCATTTGAGGATTTAAATGTGAATGTGAACTTTTCTCCTATGCGCTCATAGCTCTTGTCCCAGAATCCCAAATTGGTTGGGAAAAAGTTATGCTTGGCACAGGTTGGTTTCTTGTTCTTCAGAATAATTTATCAGGGTGTTGCTTTTGCTTCCAAGGCAGTCTCCAGACTGTTTTGGCTTTCCTAGAGCAAAGCTGGGTAAGTAGTTTACCATTAGAGAGCGTGCCTTTTCGCTAATAGTTTCTGAAAATGTTTTTTGTGGCAAAACATGTTTTTCTTCAGTCTCCCATGTAGTGCTTGAAAGAAACTGAGATCTGAGCAGCCTGTAGTGTGGAATTACAGTTCCCTACACAGGTGAAGGCTCAGCTTTGAGAGCCAACATTTGAAGTGTGGCAGTGGAGGATGCAGACTGGTAACCTGGAATTTGAGAAGCTGCAGTTCCAGATATCCTTGGTATCAGGAAGACAAAAGCTGTCCTGACTTAGTTGCTGTGATAAGGAAGGCAGGTGGCTGTTCCCGATTGTGAATTTATTTGTTCTCAACTAGGCAATAGGATCACTTCTTAAAGCCAGAAATCCTTGAGACAGATGCAGACATCAGGGTAGGGGGAGTAAGGACTGGTATAGCTTGGATGCTCCTAGGCATGTCGTTCAGGAGTGGCAGTGCAGCCCTGCTTATTTAAATTTGGACTAGATCTGATACTTCATGAAGCAGTACCAGACAGACCTGTTCTGAAATACTGGATTCACAGATGAAAAGTCATTCATTTATTGAGAGTAATTTTCAGCTCTGTTCTTTTTGAAGTATTAAAATGGGTTTGTCTTGTAAAAGAAACCTGCTTTGGTTGCGCACTCTTCTCTGTTGTCTCTTTCCCAGTCTCTAGCACTTTTGATACCAAGAAATTTTACAGAAGCCTCTCATAGAAGACTATAGCTAATGTACGTTTGCTTCCCTTAAAAGTAGGTATTTTAGAACACAACTTAGAACAGAGGGATGCTTTTGTGAGAATGTTTTCAGATGTGGATTTTTGTTTGTATTAAATCCTTGAGAACAGATTTGTTGCTTTGAACAAGAATGAAGTAGTTATATTTCAGAGATCCTGATTTAGAGGATATGTCAGTCCCTATGAACGTATACGGGAGAGAGGGAACAAACTAAAATTTTACCTTAATATAAAGTGCAAGACCAATTATAAAAGTTAGTAGTCTTTACAGAAGGAAACTGGAGAATCCTTGTAGAGAACAGCACGCATGCTCTGCTCTTGAGGAGAAGAAATTAGGAAGCATCAATACAGAGCAAAAGATCAGATAAGAAATGTTGGAAGTCAGTAAGTTCCCAGAGGGACTCCTGTCTTTCTCCTTATTAGGCTAAGCCCCAGCTTTTCTTCCTTAGAAATTTGTTGGATCACTATAATAATTGAGATTTGAAAGAATTTTTCCTCTGAAATTTATCAGAATTGTGATAAGAAAGCAAGCTGTTAAACTGGAAAACAATAATAAAAGGAGGAAAATGTAACTGACCAAGGATGGACTTTCTACCCAGAAAGTAAAAAGCCTAAATGGTTTCATTTCAATCTTCTGTGAATTAATCGGACTATAGACTTCACAGGAAGCCCAGAACAATGAATACACAGAGGATGCAGAATACTTTTCAAAGTTCACAGAGCCATAATATACGAAAAATCTTTGTAGAATTACTTCATTCCAAAATAACGTGAAAAGTAGAAACCTTTTAGTTCTCTTTTAAAGTTTATCTTTTAAAAGAAAATTTACAGTTTCTTAGTTTTATCTGTGTAACTAGGGCTATGCATGCCCAAACCAGCTATCTAAGCATTTAATCTAAAGTTTAGCAAATTTATCTTTATTAAAAAAAAAAAAAGCTTCAAATCATGCAAGTTTTCTCTGTATGTCCTTTGTGGCTTGCTGACAGATTCTTTTCCTTCAGCATTATTTTCTCATAGCATACTTTTTTTTTGTTTTTACCTGAAGCACAAATTAACTGGCATTAGTCAACACTTTCTTTTTCCAACTGAAATTTTAGACTGACTGTTAACACTTTACTGTTACCTTCATGCTTCTCAATAGTTAAGGTCTTTTAGGATGCGTGGCTTTATTGGGTTTTTGTTGTCATTCTCTCCCAATGAGAAGGCAGTTGAGCAGATACAGGAAAACAGCACAGGCAGGTGCTGCTTGGCAATTTGCACCCTGTGGAGTGAAAGGTGGGGTGGTTGATGTGATTACCACCCTACTGTCCCGGAGGTGGTTGTACCCCACTGTAGGGATGGTTGGACAGGCTATGTAGGAAATCCTGTGCGAATTTCAGTATAACTTAACAGGAGTAAATTGATGGTAGCTCAGTTGATACTGGTATTCTGCAACTTGTCAGCAGCCCCTGGGGAAGGGGCATGATGGAAAAAGAGGACGGCAGCTGTATTGGCCAAGTTAGTTCAATCCGCTACTGCATGTGATCAGTTACTTGTTACGCTCGCTTAATAGTGTTGTCCATCGTACAAGGATTCATCCTTTTGGTAAAGTGAATTTGGACAACAGGGTGCTTGCCTTCCTTCATTTCGTAGTACCTTGATCTTCAGATACTGTTTCTTGGCTGTTAAGATACTGTAAATTGGAGCTGTGGGTATTACATAGTCCCGTCTCTATGGTGTGGTGTAACCATGGCTGTAACCATGTAGCAAAGCTGCACCACGGAGCTGACTGGCTGAAAACTGGCCAGCCAGTAGCGGGTGTGATGGTAGACTTTGCTGCTGTGAAACCTTATGCCTTGTGAAAATCCTGCTCGGTGATGATTCACACTGTAGTGAATCTTTTAAAAAAAAAAAAATAAAATAAAAAAAATCTTCCTATGCAGCCCCTTACTGTAAGAACTGTCCAATGAATGTGTAGAAGGCTTCTCTCTGTTACTTCAAAATCCAAAAACCTTGCTTACCATCAAATTTTTGTAACTGCAGCCTGTAGTGAATCATGGTTATGTGTTTATATTCTTCCCTCCCCATAACTGACTTGCTGTCACTTATAAACTGATTTTAGAGTATCCTAAACAGCATTCCTGTTCTCAAAGAACACTTTGAGGTTGCTTTCTACCAACCATCAGTAGTATATCCGTTTTTCCTTGTTCTGCTTTCAAAGCTTTCATCAGCTACTTAGTTTACTGAGTCACGTAGACCCTTCTTTGCATCTGCTTAACAAAATTCTGGTCAGTACTTCAGAAGCAGTGAGTGCTAATGGATCCTCCCTTCCAGGAATCTCCAATTTTGGAGGCAAATGGTTTGTCTGCAACAGAATTTGCTTGATAACTGTTTAAGTTCAGATTCCTGAAAAATCACTTGTTTGTGACTGAATTTTTTTCTGCATTTCACTTAGATGTGGGTGATCCAGCAATCTCGTCAAGTTTTTTTCAGTTAATAAGCAGAAAGCTTTTGATGTATGATATATATCTAGTCACAATAAGGAATATATGGTTTTGGCTCTTTTATTCTTACCTGTATACATTAAAAGTATTGCTGTTTTTAAACTAGCTTTTTGAAGATAAACTCTGGGCAG